CCCCCCGCCCCCCCCCCCCCCCCCGAGCCTGGACCCAGTCTCCCAGCACTTTTAAAAAAAAAAGCCCAAGCACTCACCGGCTGCAGCAGGGGCTCTGGGGTCTCCTCATAGAGCCCCCCTGCACAGCCCCAGCTCTCCAATCACCCACCCTACCTGGCCCCACCCCTGATGGCTGCCCTGCCTGGACCGAGAATCCCAGCAATTAAAAAAAAAATCCCTGCACTCACCGGCTCTGGCAGTGATGATTAGGGCTCTGGGTGCTCATGGCAGAGCCCCCTGTGAGCACGGGAAAGCGGGTATCACCCCCCTAGCCTGGCACCTGCATGGCAACTGCCCCATGGCGCAGGTGGAGTGTGGCTCGGCAGGACGCCACGTCGTGTCCAGGAGGTGGGGCAACTTCAGCAGTCACCCGAAGCCCAGCAGTGCTCAGCCCCAGCAGCCTCAGCTCCCAGACAGCGCATGGTGCCTTGCCGAGCCACACTGCACCTGTACCATGGGGCAGCTGCCACGCGGGTGCCAGGTTGGGGGGTGATCCCTGCTGCCTGCCACTGCCCTGCGTTGTGCAGGGGTCTATGCCATGAGCGCTCAGAGCCTTAATTGCTGCTCTTGCAGTGAGTGCACGGCCTCTTTTTTTTTTAAAGTGCTGGGACTAGGTCGGGGGGTGGGGCCATGGGGGCTTCTCCTGCAACTCTTCCAGTTGTGCTTGGTGCAGACTGTGCCAAGCAGACTCGGGTGTTGGTGCTGGCTCCAGCTGGCAGCAACAGCCTGCTCCTGCAGGGCAGCCATGGCCAGTTTCACAAAAACTTCTGCACCTATCTCCTTGAAACTTATCAGGCTTCATGCCCTCAGAAGGGTATACCATCCCTGCAATTTTCATTCATATCAGGCAAGAAATGCCAAAGTTATAGGCATGGGTGACTGGTGCCACCCTAGTCAGGGGGGGCATGTGTCCCCTGCAGCGATCAGTCAGCGATCGGGAGGAGGGTCCCCCCACGGCCAATTTTTGCTGATTGGGGGGGGGTCCTTCATGACCAATCACAGAGCAGCTGCGGCGCTCCCGGAAGCAGCCACTTCAAGGAACGCCACGGTGCTCTCCGGCCAGCACTCACAGAGGGGACACCGGCACTCCCACTGCCCCTCCTCTGCCTGTCGCCTAAGCAGCAAATGTGGCTGGTCAGGGGATGCACTGGTGCTCTCAGCGGGTGCACGTGCAGCCCCATGTACCCCCTACATGTCACCTGTGGTTATAAGCAGTTTTGTGATTCCCCATTATAGCCTATGGGCGAAACATCAAAACAGCATCAAAATGACGAAACGAAACAGAACAGTGCTTTAAAATGAAACTCTAAATGAAACACTGTCCTGTTGAAATGGAAGTCGAAATGAAATGGTGCTGTTTTGCACAGCCCTATTACCCATGCTATAGGAATTGGGAGAGGTCTGCATATCTCTCAAAGTAAATCCTATTCCTATAATGGGAGCATTTACATGTCCAGAGAGTATAACAGAATCACACCTACATTTTAGTTGGTAATCCAGAGTTGGCTGCACTTTGGTCAGCCACCAGGTGAAACAGAATTTTCCCCATCGTCTCTATTCCAGTGTAATGTGAAAGCAATATGTGTAATAGCAAAAGGAACAAAGGGCGCAGTCTGCAGAGCTGTGTTGACTGTTAATTTGGACTGTAACTCCCAGAAAATCCCCAGGGGATGAGGGGCAAGGGAAAAAGGAAGAGGAAGCTTGAGGATGGAGTAAGGGGAAGAGAGAACAGTGCGCAGGTGGAACCTAGTCAGCCCTGCACTGTGGCTGGGGTTACAGGTTTGGCAGAAATTAGTGGGAGCTGTGAAGTTCTGAAGAGGGGTTCAAGTAAGGCAAATGAGAGTTGCTGGTCACAGGCCATAAGGCGCTGGACAAACTGCTGCAGTGAGTGTATAGATTTTGTTTGTTGTGTGGGCATTTGATCAAAGAAGATGTGTACCACAGAGCAGGGGGTACCCACAGTGGAAGGGGACAACACGCAAACCCATCTAGTGTATTAAGTCCTATATGCAATATAGCACCTGTGACAGGGGACTGTCATGAGGCCAGTCCAATCATTAGCCCACCCACCTGTCTAGGCCAGTCAGCCCACCTGCCTCTCCTGCCATGCCTTTGATGTATCTAAAAAGTAGTTGTTTGCAAGGCAGGAGGCTGCATGTTTATTGCCCAATGCCAAGGGCATAATACACAGCTCCATACCGTCCCTATACCGTGTCCCATGACTTGCAGATAACATCACTATATGGCTCCTGCCCCACACTGGGCCTCACTATATGCCCTATATGTTCAGACCTATATGCACTATATGTTCAGACCCTAACCTGGATCCCTCCTCCTCAGGCAGTCTAATCTCCACCCTCATTCTGGGCTGCAAAACTCCCTAAGCCTTTTTCCCTCTTGTCAGTGGCCCCCTCCAGGACCTTTGTCCTCACAGGCCCTGGCCTCATCTCTACGTCAGTTGGGACTCCAGGCATCTAGCCTCTAGCCTCTGGCCATCCCTTGCAGTGGCCACTCTGGCTCTTTGACGGATCTGGTCCTGGCCCCAGCATGGATCAGTTGAGGTTTTTATGGCTAGGTTTTCAAGTCGCTTGCCCTCACTCTGCCATATGGGTCCATCGTCTTGGGCCCCTCCAAACACTGTGCCACACAGTTTCTCCAGCCCCTCCTGGGTTTACTCTTCCACTCCCACTGGGCTAACTTGATCAAGCCCTGCCACAGCACCCTATAGTGGGGAGCAGCAAGAATGGGGGTGAGTGACATGAACAATTTGAAATGGCAACTGAGTTAAATGCATGGAATGAAGATACTAAGCTAAAATTCCTGGGCCTGTTCTTCACAGAGAAGGCCAGGGAGGTCTACTGTGGGCTCAGCAGTAAAGCCAAGCAGGATTACAAGCACCTGACTCAGGCCCTCAGGAATGTTTGGAACCAGGTGCAGGCCCTGACTGTGACCGTGCAGCTTTCTTTAATTGTAAGACTTCAGCAGAATTGATGCAAGAGTTTGGCATTGTCCTAAGATGATTAGCTATAAAGGCCTTCCCACAAGTCAGCCCTGAGATACATGATCTGCTAGCTGTGACAGGGGCAAGCTTTTATGCCCATGCAAACACCAGCCTGTCTCCTGTCTACGGGCCAGCCGCCCACCTCCTTTACCTGCCACGCCTTGATGTAATAGTACTAAGGTGTTAATTAGGTGGGAGGCTGCCCATTTTGAACCCCGATTTTTAGGGGGGTATCCGCAGCTCCGTGCCACCCCTACACTGCGGCCCAAGCCTCACAGATGGCATCCCAAGCAGTTAAACTCAGCCATTCCCTTCTTCCATTAGCTGTGGTCCCCTCTCTGGGAACTTCAGCTCTCACTTAGGCCTTAGCCCCATCTCAGGCCAGTTGTGACCCCAAGCTTCTTTGCTCTGTGGGCATCCCTCGTGGTGGGCCCCTGGCCCTTTTAACCCCTCTCTGGGTCCTGGCCCCAGCATGGACCAGTTGGGTCCCTCGGGTCAGGTCTAAGTTGCTTGCCTGCTCACAGGGTTCGGAGGTCCCCATTCCAGGCTTAGGTGCTTTGCAAAGCATGCCTGGCCCCATATGGTCACTTACCCCAGCAGGCTCAGGCACTTCAAGAACCTTACCTGGCCTTCCCTACAATATATAACCTACCTGAATGTGGGGGCTGAGGTTAAGGTGCCCTGACCCGACTTACACTGGGGAGGTGATCACTCCTGGCATTTACATGGGGGCTGCCATGCCACCAGCAGCCCCACCAGGCCTTCCTACCTTGGCAGGGTGCAGTTTTAGGTCATGCTCAGGACCAACGAGGCCTCCAAGCCATCCCCATAGCCTCACCCTTACCTCCAAGGTGTTCCTGGCAGAGCTCAGCAAAGGGATGTTTCTCCTCTGCTGGCTGATCATGAACTGCCCTCCACTCAGGGAGCTGGGCCTTAAAATGGCTGCCTTCATCAGGCACCTGCCCCTCCCTGGCCCAGTCCTAAAAGTACTTCCCTGACCTGAATTGGCCTATGGGTGCCACCACCTCTTGTCTTTCTCACCTTTCATGACTTGCTGTTAATGTTTAATTCCTGTAACAGGAAGCAGTTTACCTTTATGACATGTAATCCTCCAGCAGAAAGGATCTATCATTCATAGTAGTCACAGTTCAAATTAGAGCCTGTCCCTGTAAGGGCCAGCTAGGCTTGCCAGTTTGTTTGCCCTGTACGTTCAAAGCAGGGCACCATTGGCTGGGTGCTCCATCACACTTCCACTCCCTCCATATCTGACCGAGTTCAACAGAAACAGAAGTAACAAAAAGACAGGAGCCTGATGCTCCTCTTACCCACATCTGGGAGCGTTGCAGCTGGGAGCCATTGCTATCTCTCTCTTCTGGTCACCGGAGCTGCTTTCTATTTCCCCACTGGTGCTCCCAGAGGCCAATCCTCTGGCTTCTCTGCCAGCTGTCACTCAGTTACCTCTCTAGTAAGTGCCCCCCACAGGCTTCTGTGGGTTCCACTTGGCCAGGTTTTCTCCCCAACCTGGCAGCCAACAGTCTCTCTGTTCCCCATGGTGCTGCAGGGAGAAGATGGGGCCAAGGGATGGGCACAGAGCCTTGCTCCTCTCCATCACTGTGCTGCAACTAGATACTGAGATGGAAGTAGTGAGAAAACTGGAGGCTCTAGATATCCAAGGTGCCAAGGCAAGTATGCATGTGCATGCCAGGGAGAAGTCAGGAACACACACACCAACCGTAAAGTCATCAGCCTAGTAAACAGTGATGGAGACTGAGGTGAACTGAACCAGCTCAAGAACAGAATGGAAACCCAGTTCCAGAGCAGACATACAAGGAAAGATCTTCCTGGACCACAGCAGCTGGGATGTTGTCAGGAGAAAGCTGATGGATTCTGGCACTATGGCAACCACGATCCCTTCTGAAGGGAATACCCAGAGAGAAGGTGGGCCATGGAGAGGGGTCCATCCACTGCTAGCAGACACAGAGGCCCACAGAATGAGGTGGTGATTGTTGGAGTCACAGTGCTGGGATACTACCTGGAGGAAAAGCTAAGAGAAGTTCCTTGCCAGGTCCTCCTAAATTCAGGTGCCCATGTCCACTATACATAGCTGTGTATGGGAACAATCTACAAGAGAGGCAGAAAGAAACCTTCAACCCTGTAGGCTAATGGTCAATGCAGCCAACAGAGAAGCACTTCCAATTCTGAGGAAGTGGAGTACAACCATCAACTTCAAGGCCTACAACTGCGATGTCAAATTGTTGTAGCAAAGGCTGCCAAGCAAGATGCCTAAAAACTTCCTAAAAAATTATCAGGTCACTTTAAATGTTGCAGATTGTTCATGTTCTTTTCTCAGGAAGTGTTTCATCTTCTATACCACAGATGGCAAAGTGAGGGAGTGCAAAGTTGTAGTAGAGAAGATCATAACAATACCTCCTAAAAGTGAAATGATGATCACTAGGGATCCTGGTTTTTTCTGTTTAAAAATCCCACATTCTCTGATTACCACCACCCCCCGCCAATCCTGTGTTTTACTGCAATTAAATGCAGTAAATATGTTAGGGATGTCAAATGATTTAAAAACTGAATTGCAATGAATCACAAGATTAAAAAAATAGTTGAGATTAATTGCAATTTTGATCACATAGTTAAATACCCACAGAGCCTTGGCCCTACCAGTGCCCCTCACTTCCGATCCACAGTCCCTTACCACCCCCAAGCTCTGCCAGTGCCCTTCACTCCCAACTTGCAGCCCTCCCCATCCTTGCTGCTGCCCTTCACCCCAAAATTCAGCCAATGCAGAACTCTCAGAGCTCAGCGGGCACAGGGCCCATGGCGCTGCAGCCAGGGACGACCTCGGCTGAGGGAGGTAGGGAGGAAGGGAAGGGAGGGCAAGGCAGGGCAGGGCAGGGTACTTACCCTGGATGGCCACACCAGCGGCACGCAGGAGGTAGGGAAGCCCAGTGTGGGCAGGTGGTGGCACCGGCCTGAAGCTGTTGCTGGGTGCAGTTGAAAAGCTCCCCTCCCCCTCACCACTGCTGGGCCCTGTCACAACCCAAAGTTGTGGTTTTTTTGTTTGTGTGCGCTTTGGCATCGCTAAATCAGGTTCCCGCCAAATTGCAGCTCTTTTGCATGGTGGAGTGTTCTGTTACAACGGAGAACCTGCATGCAGGAGTTTTTCCCGCCAGTTCTGTAGCTTTCTTTGCATAGTGCATTTCTTTTGCATTATAGTGATGCACGATGCAAAGGAGTTCCTGCCATTTGTATTAGGATTCGTGCCACATTATTGGCCAGTCTTAATATAGGCACACGTGGCGGCTAGCTATTGGCTTGCTAGCCGTACAAAAGGCTTGGGTAGTTTCCGCCCAAGTCGGAGAGAGAGAAAGCACGTGGAGTTCGGGAAAGGAGCGTGAGGAT